GTCGGTTGTTTGTTCCTAGTTCTGATTGTGTATAAATTATTATAACAATAGTTATGACTTCCATATGCGTTAATTCTTGTGAAAGGACTGCTACGATCATCCCTTATATTAGAGTGACCCTTGTGTGCCGCTTTTTGGTCACAGCCGAGTGTTACACTTTTTTATAATGTGCAGCCCACAAGCACATTCCGTGTGAAGAGCATACACTCTTTATGCTGATCGGATATTGAGACTTATCAACATTCCCGTTTCGATTCCCGTACGGAAGACTCCAAGCGCAGTGCAGTGTGCTGCACGGATGGCCAGGATCGCGATACAAATGTTTCGCAGCCGTATTGCTGAAATACATCGTGTAGTCGTACTCCCGTAGTGCGATTTCCTATCCTGGTATGTTGTATATTATTTTGATAGAACGGGGGGGGGGGGGGCGTTTATATACGTTTTTTTTTTTTTTTTTTTTGGCGTCATAGTCGATCTGGGGTCGATGTGACGCCAGAGGAATTTAAACCTGCGATGGGCTCGAAATAAAAATGCTGGCTTGGTTTTATTTTTAATAATTTTGGATTTGACTTGAATCAGCATACTGAGACATGGTTCAGGCATTAAACGTGTGTTCAGGTGGCGATGCAGGCGAGTTGGTTCGTGACTAAATGGAGAAAACAGCGCAACAAACATAGAGACGAGCAGAAGAATCGAAAGAAATTCAAAACATCCAGCACGACATCACCAACAGGCACACCAACAGTGGTATTCAGAATCACTCAAATAGTCTAAGAACATTAATGTCCAAGAAAATTGTCCGGCCAGACTAGGCTAAATAAATGTCACGAAGGACAGGGGCAACGCTGGAGCCAATTCAGACACCTTCCTTCTGCACGTAGTAATTCCCTTCAAACGAAACAAAGATAGACCGCAAGTAGAAATTTAAGATCTCAATAAAATCATCCACACCACACCACAAGCATTCTGAAAACTAACCGCTTCGTTTCGTTCAATGCACTCACCCATAGCTACCATCAAGCAACCCCCAGGGAGCCGAGTAAACAAAAGTCATCTATATCCATACTGAACGCCACTTTTTCACTTGGTGAATCCTTACTGAGGATATCCACAACCGACATTGAATTGCAAGCCAGACAGTGATCATTGAGCTCAAAACCAGGCAGATTTATTACTATTTAAGTCATTGGCAGGAGGTATGATGAGACTGCACACAAATCGCTTGAGGCCTTTGAAATACAAGTACAGATAACTGCGTCAACCAGGCGTCTGTTCATTTCCACTCAAAGAATATCGAGTTCCTTAACCATGTCGTTTAACGCCTGAGGCTGTGGTGCAGAAAAAGAAAACACACGTAGTCGAAGGAACAAACACAGAAGGGAATGTCTCTTTTTAGAGACGTTCCGGCTGTGTCTGTTCCTTTCACTCAAAGTGTTTTCCTTTTCTGAACTACAGTCTCGCGTGTAAAGACCCGTTCACATTCTTGCGACTGACTTCGACCGAGAGAGACCAGACCGGTTTTTAAACCTCTTACGATCTCTTAGGACCAGCTCCGCTGTAGCGCATCCGGTCCTAAGAAGTTGTAAAAGGCTTAAAAACCGGTCTGGTCTCTCTCGGTCGAAGTCAGTCGCAAGAGTGTGAACGGGCCTTTACACGACATGATTAGCTATCACCAGCTCGCCTGCGCACTTACAGATTCTTCACGAGTTCCTCAGTCTTCCGTGACCCTAAGGCCTTGTGCTACTTCTTTTTATTTTACCTTGTCATTCCCGCGTGCTGCCTTAAGGCTTCTATCTTGTTGTTCTTAAGTGCTTTGTTTTTATAATTTTTAGAGGTGGTTGCTGTGGCTGGTTTTTAGGTGTTTCACCAAAAACTTTGAGTTGTCAGTCAACGCTTGTCCCGTCCACATCTTCTACTCGTCTTTGTGTTTCATGCGCTGTTTTCTCGATTTATTAAACGCGTGTTTTACAATTCGAAAACTATGTTGAATTTTCTTTAAATAATGGCTGAATGTGGTGGACACTAAAAGTATCTAAAAAAAATATTTAAACTTTTTTATATAACTGAAATTGACGAAACCTTGGACGTGCAACCTGGTAATATGTTCTTGCGTAAATGTATAGACGCTTTGCAAACGCGCCAGATTACAGCCGGCATTGTTGATCTTCACTTGTCTTAACGAGATGTTGAGTCACTGAAGAGGGCGTTGACGAGGCTCCACAAAGAAAAATGCTAGTGAGAAAGGCACAGTGAGAACTAAAATAAAAATAACCGGTCCTTCTGTGGTAATGATGAAGTTAAGTGAACAGAATCAAAGGAAACAAAAACGAAAGGTCGTTTATGACGGCGCTCATGCACAGCTGTTGCAAAGCGTCTGTAGATATCCCTTTGGTGATCAGAAGGATCAAGAGCCACTAAATGAGCTACGCTTAGAGTGTCGGCACTATGCATGTTGAGATTTCTTGGCTACGCGTGTTGTGTAATGTGATAATTAGCTAAATATTAAATTTCAAATTGAAGTATATATATATTCAGTCATTTTACGGCAAAGCTGTTTATGGCTATGGTCCCGTGGATTTTTCGCATGCGTGACCAAAAACTCTACGCTCGCACCGCACCCACGCGCCGCACCACACCCACGCATAGAGTTATTATAATGTACGCTAGAGGTTCAAGTGGCGCTAGTGTGCTGACGCAAATTGAAGCAGACAGCAACCAGTCGAAAATTGACTTCCGGTAATGCATTTCTATGGGAAAAAGTGAGTGCATTTTCTCCCTGCGCTCGATCATAAGAGCAAATATCCCAAATAATTCGTACGTACTAGGTAGTTTGGAACATTTCTCAGTCAGGCCGACGAAAGAATTGGTCAGTTACGGCGTTGTTCTCTCGAATTCATCGCACTAAAAACGGTGCTAAAACGGCTTCGCACGTGTATTTATGTGCACTGTCGGACACTATTAGCGCGAACGCGGCGTCGGCGATTTCCAGCATGGGGGATATACATGCCAAACGAACGAAGGACATCTGGAAAATCAAGAGCGGCGGCAAGAACTAAGCAGCAACACCGGATCAGTAACTCGCAGCGCATGTACGATCAAAATAAATTGAAGGCCACGTAATCTATTCCGATTTTAAATAAGTGAGTACCGCTTTATTCTTTCTGTCCTGAGCGAAGCTGCGTGTTCTACGTTCAAAATATCACCCGCGTGCTAGACATCTTTGAGAACAAGTGCGCGATAAAAGCTGCCCGGCAGAGAAAACGATACGAAGAGACACCTTTCATATCCCACGGACTTTATTCTCTACGTTGAAGGTTTTTATCCGCTCATGCACAACGGGATCATTTTCATATGGTGACAGGACTGGCATATCAATAGACAAGCGTCACCGGAATGCCGGCGAGCCTTGAACACACTCTATATTCGTTTTGATCGTAATTTTGCTTTGAATCGTCGCTTGTTTTTACACACCTGCTGCGGAACACACGTTTGGGACTGAAATGCAGCGAAGTTCAACATCGCTCACTGATGAAGAAAAATGCCCTAACTAAAGCAATTACACTTTTACAATGTTAATTAAGACACATAATATTCGGTACGACCGAAATAACCAAAGTGTTCCATGTTATTTTAGGGCGAACAGACAAAATGCACGCTCGTTTTCCCATAGGAATGCACAGGAGCACCGCAAAAGTAGACTGGTTGCTGTCTGCTTCAATTTGCGTCACGGAAGTCGCATAGACACTAGCGCCAGGTGAACCTCTAGCGTACATTATAACTCTATGCACCCACGTGCTGAACGTGCCGGCGTCTGCAGCAATAATTGTTCTAAAGCAAAAGCTTAAAACAAATGGCATCTCGCACGCGCGTTCGTCAACGCTTTATTTTGGTTATTTACTTCGAATCTTTTATACGGGGAATACGTGCGTGTGCGGCGCGTGGAACAACATTGCTTGCATTCTCCTTGAAGCTTGGGTTGCCGTTTTGACTAAATTTTTAGGTTTTTACTCAATTCAAAGCAATGTGTATTCGCAAAATTCTATCAGCACGCACAATATACTACCAGGGATTGAGTCAGTGTGGGTGCATAGACGTTTTTCATCCCCTTACTGAGGCCCTTCAGTGTTCATTCAAATTTTGCGCCTTAAAGGCGGTCGTTCTAAAAAATAACGTATCTTCGTTAAAGTATCTTCGTTTACGATCAAAATTAATGCTCCTGGAGCAGCCGAACTCTTTTTCTGTGCTTCTTAAGGTGATGGGGAGTAGATTTCTTAGATTTTGTTTAATATGGTGAAGCTCCTCGAGATATTCAAAAGCACCCTGACGTGTTACTCAGTCTCGTATCTAGAGGCTCGGAGAAGTGTAATTACACAATAACAAGACGAAAGGTTTAACGACGAAAATCCCACCAAAAAATTTCGTAAGTTAGACTGTTCATTGTCCAAAAATCCCTGAATCGTTTTTGTTTTTTTGTTTTTTTCATCAGTGTAGTTATCTCAAGTCAAGCACAACTTTGGGGTTGGGTTTTCGCTGTGACGAAACAAAGCAGATGTCTACGTGCTAGAGGCACTCCTTCGAGTAAAGGGAGCGGGAAAAGCAAGTTCCGCTCCCTAGCCGCTCAACGTCTAACAGGAGAGGGCGCTGCAGTCAAATGCGTATATAATCGCGTTAAACTTTGCATGCATTGGCTCAACGTTTATAGGCGAGAGGGCGCTGCGGTCAAATGCTCAAATGCGTATATAACCACGATCCATACCACATATTCTCTTTCTGACATGGACCGTTGACTTAAGCGGTGGAGATGCGTTCCCACGGCTTCTAGCGGATCCAAGCTGATCCGCTAGAAGAACCACTGGCTTTGCATTTCATCGACCATAAAGGAGTAATAATGAAGTCGAAATTCAACCCGGAACTCAGCACTACCTATGAACAATAAAAAATCAGCACCATCAGCACTACCTATGGACAATAAAATCAGTATCATCAGCACCACCAGAGCTTCGCCCCAATCAACATAATTCACCACATGGAGATACGGTATTTTTTTTTTTTACCACGCCTACAAAATCTTCACCAGGAGATCTAGTATCAATATAAGAAATTAGACACATTTGACATCGCAGCGGCTCAAGTGTCCTATCAGAGGATGCGGTCATTGATACAATGCTTGATGTGACTTTCTTGATTTGTCACGCCGTACTACGCTCTAGTTTATTTACTTATCGTGATGTTTCTGTTCTATAGATGGAACAACGACCCAAATGGGTGGCCCTGGCTACTTGTTGTTCCTTTGAAGCTTTAGAAAACATCACGCAAGCATACCACGGCAACCATAACGCAGGACAACTTAATTTTGCAAAGACATACTTCCGCTTACGATGCTTCTGGAACGGTATGTACCGCAACATCGGCAAATATACATTTGCGCATTTCACTAATGTCAACTGCACAAGACCCGAACCGCCCAGTTTTCCGGCCCTTTGAAATCCACGAATTCTCGAACGACCTTCAAGACTATCGAAATCAATTTCTTCGGCCCTTTTCCTTTGTCTGCAAAAAAAAAAAAAAAAAAAAGATGGGTAATTGTTTCCGTAAATTGCCTCACAATGTACGCCGAGACAGCATTTGTTCCAGCCGCCACAGCCCAAAACCTTGCACGTGCTTTGTTTATTTTCGCAGTACTTTTATGCAACACGGAGCAGGTGAGGGGCCCTAATCTACACAGCGGGATTAAGGAACCGGGACATCAACGCCTGCTGTGATTGGTCAGCGCCGCCCCGCCGACCAATCGGAGCAGGCGGCGATTTTCCGGTCCCTTGGCCTCGCAGTGGAGATTACGTCCCCAGTCATAAAAAAGCAATCGAGGCACTCGTTTTATTGCGAAACTACTCGAGGAACGTTTGCGTCTGGCTAACAGAATGCACAACGTATCCAGCGCCTACCACCCCCAAACTAACGGGCTCACGGAACTTCACTTTAGCAGAAATGATGTCCATGCACGAAACCATACAAACTGGGATGTTATCGTACCATATCTGACGTTTCATTATAATACCACGGGCCAGGCCAAGACGCACTTCTCGCCGTATTACCTATTCTACACCCTTTAACCCCTTACCACTTTTGATACCATATAGCCATCTTTTCATGAATTTCAGATGTGCCACCCTCAGAGTTTATCTGCGGCGCGGGGTATGCTGTACATCTTGCACGCTTTCAAGCTCTACGATAGCAGCAGAAACAACAACTCCGTCACAGACAGACTCGTGCGGAAGAATCTTACGACGCTGGGGACGAAGATCTTCTAGCAACCCCACTTCGTAAGGTCGGCACACGTGAAAAACTGCTTTGAAACTACGTTTCCCCTTTCGTCTTCTCCGCCATCATTTTTCTACAAGCTACGAGGTGCAACCAGTCGCACTTTGTCAAGGTCGCCACGCGAGTGTCACTTGACGTTGTCCATGTCTCACGTAACAAACCTTTTAACGGACCTCACGAGTGAACATGTGATGGCAGGTGGATCGGCCCTTTACCCTCCCCGGGAAAGTGTAGGGAGAAGACAGCGAAGCTGAGGCCATAGGGCAAACTGAGCGAGCCTTCAGCTGGTGGAATATGATCTCGCAGCTCTAACCCCTCATTAGTTCTCATTATACTATACTTTTAACACTCTGAAAATATTTCGATAAAAGCGACGTAGTGTATTCACAGAGCTGTAAAACACCTCCAGGCAATTCACTATAGTAAGTATATCCGAAATGTAACTTGCGAAACCTATAGTTTTCTTTACGGTGCACTTTAGTCCGGAGATGATTACGTATACGGGTAAGAAATGCGTACTCGGCAACGTTGAAAGGAGTCGCCGACTTTGGAAAGACGTGTTCTCACTTCAAACAATGGATTGGAACAGGGACTTTGTTTCTTGGTTATGCGGCGCCGTCCTAAGACGTCTTAGACAATACAAAAATGCAGCTTTTGAAGATATTTCAGTTGTTTCTTCAAGCAGCTGGCGCTGAGTACACATGCCTTTTCAAGCTTCGTGGCGTAACTGCAGCAAACGCTAGATTGCGACATGGATCTGGAGTCATGCCGTTTCACTGGTCTCGAAAGAAAAGCTGATAACAATAGATTCTATTGCTTCTTATGTTTTCTTATTTTCTTGGAAGCCACGAGAGTCACGATCCTTCATTTCGAGAAGGCGACTCCCGCTCTGCCAGTACGGGTGCAAGCGCCGCACAGCAGCTTACGCAAAACCGGAATACGTCATTTCCAATACATCTGGCGCCACCTGCTGGAAAACTGGGTTCAAAGATGAAGGCCTCTTCACACAGACACCACAGCCAAACCACTTTATACTTCAACCAATGGGCGGAGCTTGGCAAGGAGACAGAAAAATTCATTTACATATTTACATACGTATATAAACGCATCGGTTTCGTGGCACGCAGGCCCCACAGAGACTCTTTACACCTTAATTAAAAAAAAAAAAAAAATGTGCTTGGACGCACGTTCACCCAAAATAATGAAACAGGAGTGTCACCGTCTCATTAGCTCTTCATGTCCCGTGTCCACAGTTCATTTGCAAGGAAGTCCGCATTCCGCTCTCGCGAACGTTTTACCATCAAGAAGAGGGTTCTGAGGCGCCGGCGCTGTACAAGTGCCCTGTTGCGAAACTGCCCTAACACCTGCCGCACAAGGGTTGCAGAAAGCATTGTTAAACGGTTACACGTACGGCGTACGTCGCTGCGCGTGAAAGTGCACGCCGAAAGCCCGCGATCCCACCAGAGTAGAATAAGGTACGCGCGACAACACAAGAGACAAGAACATGCTCAATGGTTTCCGGTGCTCAGCCTTGTACAAATTACTCGAAAAACGTAATGGCTTACAATTGCAATAGCTGTTGCTTAAGATGTATTGAATTAGATCACTTGCTTACTTAAAGAGGCTAATTGGCGTTACATGAAGAAGCACCGTTACTTTTGTGATTTCTTGAAAACTTCAAAACTACAGATATGTTTGCCGGTTTGAAGACGGGTCTTCGTACTGTCCATTATTGTATTATAAGCACCGAACTCTAAACTACTCATCTTTTTAATCCACTAATTCGGCAAAAAGTCGTCCTGTCGGAGACTTGATTTGAAGGTTCCTTGGAAGAAATCTTGTAAAAACACATTTCCCCATTAGAAAGGGGAGGGTAAAATAGCGACGGTTGCAAGTAAAACTAGTACTTCTAAAAGTAATCAAATGATACTTGTATTTACTTCTTGATAAATTTATTCAAATGATAAAAAATAACTTCAAAATGTAATTGACTACAAGTAACTTGATTACTTCTAATACGTACCGTGCAGGTCTGCCGGTGACACACAATTTGGACATGTGTTGTTTGCAACAACCTCTCTGCGCGCCGACTTGACTTTTGTGGGTAATTCATACCAGTGATTTTAAACTAATAAAACATAAATATAAAAAAGAGAAATAAATGTTCCTCTTACGAGAAATAGGTGTTCAAATACCTCAAAGTCATAGGTTTTCACTAAGTTCAAAGCAATATATATTCGCGAAATTCGATCAGCACGCACAACATACTACCAGGGATTGAGACAGTGTTAGTGCATGTACCTTTTTTTTTATTCCCTTAGTGAGGCTTTTTAGTGTTCGATCAGATTTTAAGCCTCAAATGCGGTCTTTTTGAAAAATAACGAAGCACTATTTTTAAAATGTTGATGCAAGGATCTTCATTCATCACCGAAAGGAATGTCTGGGAGCAGGCGAGCTTTTTAACTGTGCTTCCAGACGTTATAGAGAGTGGATTTTTTAGATTTTGTTGAATGTGATGAAGCTTCCTGAAATATTCGAAAGCACCGTGACGTGTTACTCAGTCTTGTACCAAGAAAGTCTTTGTGCAATGGTTTTGTTGTCCAGGGTATTGAACGAAAATCGGTCACAAGATACTTGAAGTTGTTTTCGACAAGAGGCTCGCAGAAGTGTAATTGCGCAATAACAAGACGAAATGTTCAATGACGGATCCCGTGCGAAAATGTCAGATATGGCTCTGATATATTTTATATACGGCCATATATGATATTATAAGCAGTGAAATATGGCCATATTCCGCCATATATGGGAGCAAATACGGCCTATTTTGCCACATAAGTTGGCAAATGCTGCCAGACGTGGCCATATAAGTGAGTAAATACTGCCATATATATATCGATATACGCGTGCAAATATAGCCCCTGATAATAATAAATAGGCCCGTTTCGGTCGTGCAAGTAACAAGTCATATGTACTCGCTAAGACACTAGTTGATTGATCTATATTGCATGAGTCTCATGTAATTGGTTAACTATTGTTAACATCCTTAAAGTGAAGTTATTCCAGGTATTTGGACCAATTAATCAATTGCGCATTTTGAAGATTGAAAGACAAATGAAATGTGTTGTATGTTTGATGTGTGACAATATGACGAAGCGCGATCGGAAAGTGAGTTAATCAGATAATGGATTCTAGTCGCAGTTCTTAAGCACCCGTTTCCGAGTTCAGCGGTGTCGGCGTCGCCATCGGTGTAACCGCCCCGCTAAATTTAGCGAGAACTTGAATTGGTACGTATGTCACGTGACGTCAATTTTCCCACTAAATCTGGTAGTGAAACTAATTTTGTTAGTGTTTCCCCGCTAAATTGAGCGGGTAAACACGAACCGTTAGCTTACTCAAGATGCAAGACGCGCTACTTCGTCGTCCCGAATCCTTTTCCCTTCGAACGGCTCCGAAGCCGTTGCGCCCGGAGTACAATACGCAGCTCTTTCATTAAACCGTTCGCGCCGCATTGCATCAGTTCGTTTGAGAGGGTCGGCGATTCATCGTCTGTTGAAAGTCGGAAGATGTGCTGTCCGTGGTGTCTTTTATGTGTAACTCTTTCGTAGAAAAATTTGAACCTTAAAACGCGAACCTAACAGTGTACACATGATTTTAAATTTATGGGAAAAAATATATATACATATTTATTTATCTATTTATTTGTCGACATCGTGCACAAAAAATAGTCGCGTTTATTTTTTCATTTAAAATTAAAATATGAGTTATACAGCGTAAAACATAGTATCTTCAAACTCGCATCGTTTTGGGTCACTTTCGAGCTGGACAGCTTCTTTGGAAGTTCAAAACCTGGACTTCATAGAGGTGTATGTTCACTCGGTATTGACAGCAGGCATTGACACCAATCGTGTCTCCGGTTAGGGTCACGTGACTACAGTCTAGAATCTGGTGATAAAGCAGGACATCGCACCTGCCTGGAGCCCAGGGCCACACATAGCATTCACTGCACTGTCAGCCTTGGGTACAAGTGACCAATTCGCTCGTTGTGGTCGCTTTGATGGCCCATAAGATAAGCCTTTTGCTCGCGATACTCCGTTTTGGCCTCTCCTTCTCTCCTTTTCTCTCTCTCCTTAAACTGAAAGCGTTGTAAAAGGTGCGTGGTCACGTGGTTTGATGGATGACGCGCTAGCCGTTGGAGATCTCGGAATGCGTTTAGCCGGACCTAATTGGGCGTGTGAATTCGCCCTGTGTGGCTGCTGCGCATGTCTGCTTCTGCAAGCGATTTCTTCAAAGAAGCCAAAGAATTTTTTGTGATGCGTTTAGTGTTCGGTTCTACACACGACAGCTTGTGCTACATCGTGTTGAATCTTCACGGGCACCTTCTCGTTTTTTTGTGTTTGAGTGGTGGTTTTGCCGTGGCCATGTCGACATCTCCCTCCGATTATAACTTTCAAGTCCCGTCTCGTCAACGTAAGTGCACTGCAACCTACTTCGCGACAATTGATCGTTTTCCTAAAGGTATTCTTCCAGGTTACCTCTAGAATTAGGCCGTGTGTATCTCTTGGCAGCCGGGAGAATAATTGTGCAGAATATTTCGGCATTGGTGCGATTGCGCTACTAGCAGAAAGTTTCGATATGCCGCCGACAAAGTTTTGACGTGTCGCCAAAAAACAACAACAACAAACAATCTTAATTACGCGTTCTAAAATTTGACGAGCGGCTTTACGAGTCGCTTGTAGAAAGATTGTTACGATTTTGCAAAATACTGGTAAACAACGCCAGGTTACCGTCATAATCTGAACCCAGAGATGAGGATAAATCAAATAACGAATAACTCTCATTGACTCAGGCTTTATATTATGATGTTTCCTAACCGGCTTGCCTACATGCTTTCGCTCCTTGCGAGGGTTACCGTCTCGCGGACGGCACAAACCGATTCCCTGACGGCGGCGTCTCGGCGAGCTTGCACACGGCGCCGCCGCCGACCGATCGCCGTCTGGCCGGGCTCGCAGCGCGACAATCGCCCGTACTCGGCCGGGAGCCCCGAAGGTGCGCTCGAAGTGGGGAAACGGCGTTATGTAAAGATAGGCACAGGGCATATACTCCACGAATGGGCAAAAGTCGATGCAAAGGCGTGCGCGAACGTAAACAACGGTAGAAAAGTGCAGTTGCTCGCCGCTATGGGATGCGTGCCGCAAACTCGGTCATCCGCGGACGTATCCCTCTCCTCCCGGTCGTACTTTCTCTAACTTGACGGACACTCTGTCACTCTGTCTCGGGGTTCATGCCGACGAAACGATCGTCGGTATACCGGGTAATTGCTACAGCCGAGGGCGGCATAGTTTATGATTGCTCTCGCTGTGGAGGCTCGAAGAGTCAACCGCCAGCATAATGAATATCGTTTTTTTTTTTTTGTTTTTTTTTTTTTTATTCTTCCAGATTTGTTTTAAAAGAAGCCGTGAAAGGTACACTTATGCGGTTTGTGCGAGTTAGTTATACGCCCAGGGGGACATTATGTAGTTTGCTAATCTTTGCGATAAGTCGGCTAATTAATTACAATTCATGAATTAACTTTTACTTAGTGACAATAGACATATGGTTTCAATTAGAACCTTGCTGAGCGTCGTCCAAAACCCCTAAACCAGTAACTTTCAGAAAGACTTTGAGCGCGTGTGAAGCGCAGTAGTGCGCTGAAGTTACCACTCGTGGACCAGGTACAAGGCTGGGGATGAGAGACGAAAAAATTGCTCGGGCGCCTTACCGAAACCGCTAGACTTTCAGAAAATGACTGATTTAAGGATTTTGGACGACGCTCAGCAAGTTTCTTATTGGAACCATATGTCT